GATGATGATAATGATGATGATGATATTAATGATAATGGTGACGAAAGTGATAGTCAGTAATATTCAAGGAATGTTCGAAAAATATCCCACAATTTTTATTCCGTTTCATTTAACACAAAATAATTTTTAGGCGATTGCTTTTTGCTTCGAAAAATCTATTCGAGCGCAAAAGAGGTATTCAGTGTTTTCAAGAGACGTTGAGCTCTTGGAGTATTCAATGGAAACAAAAAGCATTGCATCTTGCCTTCGATTCGGTTTTAGAATAAAAGCGTTGAAAACACCTCAGTTCTATTTGCAAATCACTTTTCACAATAATACCTCGTGTCGGTCCATATTTGTTCATGTTACTATAACAACGCATTGTCATACTGACAAGATACAATGGAGTTCATTTATTTGTAGAAAAGAAAAAGAAGAAATAAAAAAACAACATTTTTTGGATTAAAACCTTGTTGTTTAGTTTTTCTTGTATCTTACCTTGATAACTTAAAAAACGTCTTGTTCGTTCATAGAAAGGATGAGAAAAAGAACTTAGACCCACGACGGCAAATTTCGTTTGTATTTCGTTGACTTTTTGGCTCCTTGTGTCTGCGAATGAATGTCTAGGACTATTCTTGCCTAGCAGTTTTCTATACTGTAAAAATTTCCAGGCATCAGCATCAGATCAAATGTTTGAAACTGCACTTAAAAGTGAGATCAAGATGATTTGCAGTAAAGCCAAAAGAATGGCTTAAAATCGACAGAAATCAAGGCAACAGAGGTAGCCCTGTGTCTTCCAAGGAATGGCTTAAGATCGACAGAAATAGAAGGCAACAGAGATAGCCCTGTCTTCCAGGGAACGGAGAGGATAAAACGTGTTTATCTGACCAACGAAAATGAAACTGAAACTGAAACTGAGCAATATTCCGAAGACAACAGCAAATCATTTTTAAGGATGTTTCGGCTGGCAACCAGCCCTCTTAAGGGTTTATTCGATAAGGGAATGTGACAAAATCTTTCAACTGAGGATTTAATTTACACGGTAGCGATAAAAAAAAAAGATTTCGCAACCAGTGACGTACGTACGTATCACATTTAGCAGAGATTCTTGCAAATATGAAAATAACGTTATGACGGAATGTTGTGACACTACAGAAAGGATAAAAGTACATCTCATCACATTTGTTCTAGCGGCTCAAAGGTTTTTAATTTTTAATACCGACATGCTGCTTATACTAACAGAAATCCGATTCTGATTTAAACGTAGCTCTAGAAAAAAAAAACTGAAGTTAACAGCTACAAAGCAAAAGCCTTCAACTGCTAGGAATGGATACAACTGTCGAGATGTAATTTTATCATATATCGTCTGTCATGTTATATTTGTATATTTGTTATCGTTGTAGCGAGTTTTTCAGTAGTTTTCAGTTTCATCATGATCTTAACTCTTGATTTCTTTCAGGTTTTCAAACTGTTAGGAAACCTCATGCTCTGATGCACACTTACTCCTCCGCGCTATTTCGAAAAGGCATTAAAATTCACAAATCTTACTCAATCTGCCATCAAAATAGGCCCTTTGCACCATCCGGTCACATGGTACGGAATTAATTATGCTGGGACGCAAGTTACACAATGGGACTTTCAAAACAAAGGAAAGATGGGCTGGACTGGTACGAGTTCCCTTGTTTTGGAGGTACCACCGTGTAACTTGCGTCCCAGTATAATTAATTCCGTACCGTGCAAAGGGCCTATTGATCTAGAAGGCGATCCACGACAAATTTGTTAATATCACGACTTTCAAATTAAAAAGAGCATAACTAACACGTCAGTAGCCCTTTTTACGGTTAACTTTTCTCATTTACATGACACTGTAATCAAATGTGGATGCAGCGCAATAGGCCAATTTCGATATATTAAAATTCAGCCTAACACAATAGACCTCAGCACGAGGCTCTGGGCAATTAACTCCACAAACTTTGTATTTGTTCCCCAGAGCCTCGTACTGAGGTCTGTTTTAGGCTGAATTTTAATATATCGAAATTGGTCTATTTCGGGCAGAAAATAAAGAAGAATGCCTGAAACTACCTCACACTTATGCTGGGTTATATTGTAATTTAAATAAGAAAAGTTAGCCGTGAAAGGGGCTATTCTTTCAGCGCTTTTTCGTGTAATTGTGTGAAACTTTTGATTTGCTCGGTTTCCCGTCAATCGCGAGAGCATAAAATTAAGTAGTTTAAATTACGGAACAAACTTAGTCGAAAGTCTTTACTTTTCCCCTCCCTGATCGATGAATTTTAGGTGAAAAACATAGATAACACTTTGGATTGGAGCCTTGTGTAACATTTTTTTTTTTCCAGGCTCTTAAAATGTGTGAATTAAAACAATAAGCGATGCAAGTAATTTTGAGTAGAAGTAAAGATACTACGGGGATTGGATGAAACAGGAAGAAAAAGAATTTTGTTACTTCCAATGTGTAGTCTACGAAAGCAGCTGGGTTTTTCACCTGTTGTTATTTTGTCATATGTCAATTTAATGAGGAAACAATCGACAAAGGTCTATTTTGAACACTGTGGAAACACTATTAAAACACCTCGGTGTCAGGAGTTTTAACAACATTGACACAAATTTGCATCAGCTTACAGTTTCCTTTACATTTCAAATGGTATAAGGGGAAATCGCTATTAACTGTTGGTTTAAACTATCTGGCGATGGATAAGCGCGAGAGAATGATATCGTCTTTATACAAGTACGTATTGGGTACCTAGTTTTAATGCGGAAATTAGGAGGGAAAACTGGACTCTAGTTGACTCGTGCGCATTTTGTGGTGGCGGGCTCAAGAAAATTTTGAATCGCTTGATTATTCGGGCACGCATCGGAAATACGAAACGTGTTGTTTTAAAACGAGAGAAAAAGGACCTTGATAGGATTATCCGAATGTTATGGAATGCCATTAAATTACTGGATGTTTGAACGTGCCAACAAGTTAGTTTGTCGGTGATAAAGCAGGGGGAGATGACCGGAAAATCGCGATTGCAACACGCCAACAAGCTGAACTTCGTCGAATGTACACAGTCACCTTTTCATGATACGATTTAAGTTGATCTATTGGATATGAATCCAGACAGAGCTGGGCGAATTCCGCCGCCTACGAGGAGACTTGTAGTACGGAAAGCGAACAGCCATCGAGACTTGCGTCCTATTACAGAAAGGGTAAGTTTTCATGTTGTTTTATCTCGCTTGTTAAATTGCGATAAGCACGTTCTTTCCAGTACCAAAGCCGCGGCTGATGTTGTTTGCTCCTTACTGTAGTTCGCGGATTAATTAAACCATGGCTTCTGTAGGATTATCTTAAGTCCGTTTTATTTGACTTTTTTTTTCTACAGGCAACGCTCGAGAAAGTCTTAGGGCTGACAGTGTCCAGAAATGCTTGCCTCGCTTGCGATCCAGTGTCCGGTTTAGTGGCGTATCCGGCTGGGTGAGTGAAGTTGGATATTTACTCGACATTTTTGTCTTGTATTTTATGCTGGCATAGAATTTTATTTGGTCTCCAGGAATGACGTGGGTTTTAAACAATGCAATTAAGATGATTTGAGGAACGATTTCGTATTCCCATTGATGCATCGAGCATAGAAATAACCTTATTGTCAAAATGTAGAGTGAAAGGTCACGATGAATACGTACGAATGCGTGTTCGAAATTCGCAAGTACATGAAAATTGTATTTCTGGTCTATACGACTTTTTAAATGGGCACACTATCTCCTAAATGACTGAGCAATGCTTATCAAAATATTATAAGTTATAATAATAAGGTTTTCACAAGCCAGGCTATTCTTGTGAAGTTCTGAAATTGTTAAATTTTAATCGCGGTGTCGCTTTTGCTTGTTCAGTTCATAGCGGTGGTTCTGGACGATTGCTTTTCGCACGGTGGATGATTTCCGCCGTATAAATATCAACTCGTTTAACGATTATAGCAAATGGCTTTTCCTACGTTGATTAGATTCCGTTTGGATGAAGTGAAATGCTGAATTTAGCTGGTAGCCGTGGAGAGACATTTATAATTCATATGTAGAAGTCTGATCTCGGACGTCTTTTTTTCAAAACCGACTTCGATGCTGCCAGGCTGAGGTTTAATGAGAGCATTTGGGATGATATATTCAAACAGTTGTATTGGCCTTGGTGTGTATGTGTTGATTGAAATCAGCCGTAAATTTGTTGATACATATTAAACGGACTGAGAGTGAATACACAGGTGAACGAGATTCGGATGCATTCGAAAACTTCGTCGTTGTAAAAATTATCAGCGCGTGTTTTGTTTTGCGTTGTCAAATACAACGGGCTGAAACGGCGACGGAAATTTTAAACAATCATTTAGACGTTGTTATGAAATTGAATCAATTTTAATGATCGCTGCGAGGGTCATGTGGAGGGGTTATTATGGTTTCCGAGTTATTCGGGGCTTTGTCTTGTATTCATTTGTTATTTTCATTGTATTTACTCGTACTGTTGAGTGGGTTGTAATTTACAACCATGGCCCATGCAAGTTAACTTCGATATATAAACTTCTTCCATCCCAACACAGCTTTTCATTTGTAATCTCTTCGATCTAGAGCCTAGTGGGACAGTTGCACTCGTCATTTCACCAGCTGTTCTTAACAAGATCGCTAAAAATATCTCCATAGCCTGATCACTCTGAAGTTGATATTGCAATTTGCATTTCATTTTGCTTGCCTAGAGTAATTAGTAAAATCATTCACATGCGATGAATCAAGGAATATATTATGCTCCAACAAAATCAAATTAACTTAATCAAACAATAAAAGGTTATTTACTTTTTCGTATAGCCCTTTGGGAAAAGAGTTTTCTTCAAAGTGAGAATCTTTTAAGGAGTCTTGCAATTAAATTACCTGCAAATTTGACAGTTTTATCCTCAATATTTGCCCCAAGAATTGCATGTTTTCCTTCATGCCTGTCAGGACATCAACCGTAAACTAATCAGCTTTTATGAAGATACTTGTATAACAAATTATGATGTTGCCACAGTGCATGTAATTCCTGACTTTGCAACATAAAAGTTCAATATTCCACTACAGCTTTCCAGGTTAAACCTGTCTGGAACTACATGTAAATGTACATTCAGTTGATACCAATACAAATCTGCTGACATTGTGTTCAGTCAAAAATTGGGTTAATTTTGAATCTCAGTTAAACAGAAATTCAATTTAAAACCAAAGTAGAGAACTTATATTGTTGATGTGAAAGAACACTAATTTTGCTGAAATACATCCAATATGAAATTTTGTGTATAATGTCATGGAGGACTCGAGAAGACTAATTTATTCCACTTTCTTTCCCAAGGGTGAGTGGTTTTGGATGCGAGGCAGGGTTAGCTGCATGTGTAGCTTAAATAGAGAAGGCTTCTGAGATGATGCTACTTGAATTTTTTTTCTTCCATGCAGTGGTACTAAAATAATCTGGGTTTTTTTTTCACAGATGTGTAGTGGTCTTGTTCAACCCCAGGAAAAACAAGCAAAGTTTTGTTCTCAATACATCCAAGTAAGAAACACTTATTAGCATCTACACTGTATTGTGAGTGTGATCAAAGTACAGTCATGTAATTTACTCTGCCCATGACACAATTCTGAGGATAATATCTGAGTGTATTTATACATGTATACATGTATGCTACACTGATTAAATAGCTTGAAATTATCTGATAGCATTTTGCTATTGAGCCCCCCAAGTCTATTTGAAACATAAAGCAAATTCAGTGACAACAAACTCAACGGACCGAGACTGAGTTTTTTTATGATAGATTACATTCATAGTTAGTTCATCATACTTGACACTGACATAATTTTTGAACTTAATTAGTACTGTCGCGAGGACGGAGAAATGTTGTTCGCTACTGATTTTGCAAGATCTTGTTTTAGAATATCTTATAATTATAGAACTTTATATATATGTTGTTGCTATAAAAGGTTTTTTCTCAATTTGATGTGCTGGGTAGTTGTTACAACAAAGAAATAGCCACTGACTAATCATTTGATTTTTACAGAAAAACGATCACTTCAGTAGCCTTTTCTGGTGATGGCAAATATTTGGCAACAGGCGAAGTAAGTTTTTGCAACTTAAATTATTTAATGCATATTAACCAACAGTCAATAATAATAATAGATTGTGTTTTAAATTAATCTAATTGTAATCACTTTTTCTCTTTGCCTCACAATGTATGGGTACATTGTACATTGTGAAATCGTTTTAAATGTGGATTTCATTAGTTGAGACATCACTCTTATCAGTTTAATAAGGAAAATTCAAGCTTCCGTATTTTTCTTCATCTTTTCAACAGAGTGGTCACATGCCATGTGTGCGAGTCTGGGATATGGAAGATCAGTCCCATCCACAGATATCAGAGATGGCAAAGGGACATAAATTTGGTATTGCATGCGTGGTATGTTACATGTTATGAGAAGTAATGGTACTGAATTATTAATTTGAAAAAGATTCCGCATTTTTTGTGGTTTGGGACATTCTGTTGTACATGTATTCTTGGGGAAGGAACTTTACACTTATAGTATGCCTCTCTCCACCCAAGAACTATTTATCAACTTGTACCAATTAATTCAATGTTGAAAAACCAACTGACAAAATGTGGGTAACCTGAGTTGGAGTATTTATACCATCCAGAGAGAATAGCACAGCTCTAGCAAAAATCCGCCAGCTGACAATGTTGCTGCATACAGTGAATTATTGGCTCCCAACTTCTTGCTGAAGTTCACTTATCCTGACAAATAACAAGTCCATCTCTGGTATTTAGGCCTTAAGGCGGGTGATTATCTCTGGTTTCCATAGCATGAAGCAACTCTAGAGTATTTTCTATTCCCCTCCTGGATGGGATACTTTCATTTATGCTATCCCATCGCAGGGTTACCCCCAGCATTATATTTGGGGGTACCCATTTATACACCAGGGTGGAGAGAGACAACACAATGTCCCCGGCCAGGGCTTGAACCTGAACTACTCGATCCTAGGCAAGTGCACCAACCGTGAGGCCACCGCACCTCCACATCTCTGGTCTTTACTGCCCATTATTGCTGTTACTTTCTCGTCTGCTATGAAGCATTTTTACAGGGCGGGTAGTAATACTCTTAATATACACTAAGGGCCAGGCTGCTGAACAATAATTAGGATGGGCTCCAGTGAACAAACTTTGCTTTGAGCCATCTTCTTGAGAGGTTTTATTTTATACACATGGAGTACGTTTTTGGGTTGTGTGGTGTGATTTATGAGCTTTTTCTTTTCATTCCTTCTCCAAGGCATTTTCTCCTAATTTAAAATATGTGGCATCTGTTGGATTCCAGCATGATATGATTGTCAATATTTGGAACTGGAAGGTAACATGTATTTTAATCTTCTGGTAATAATTGTGTATACATGTACATTATACAGATTAGATGGTCAATCAAAATTTTATTTCATTTTCCAGGCTGAAGTTTAGTTTTAGTGCAGTGTAGCTTGTCAGGATTTTTCACTTTTCAATTTTTCCAATGCTGTTTCTACCGTTTTGCCATTACATTTAGTATTTATTTCAATGTTGTTGTAAATTTTTTACTTTTGTACAATGCTTTTAATTAATGCTTTTTTTTTAAATTTTGGAACGATGTACATGGCTAACATAGTCCATTTAGGCACCAGGATCACAAAGATTGTGGATGTGAAACTATCAAAGCTTAAATTTTTTTCCTTCTTTCTTNCATGTAATTCCTGACTTTGCAACATAAAAGTCCAATATTCCACTACAGCTTTCCAGGTTAAACCTGTCTGGAACTACATGTAAATGTACATTCAGTTGATACCAATACAAATCTGCTGACATTGTGTTCAGTCAAAAATTGGGTTAATTTTGAATCTCAGTTAAACAGAAATTCAATTTAAAACCAAAGTAGAGAACTTATATTGTTGATGTGAAAGAACACTAATTTTGCTGAAATACATCCAATATGAAATTTTGTGTATAATGTCATGGAGGACTCGAGAAGACTAATTTATTCCACTTTCTTACCCCATTTGTTCAAAGGAGAAACACTAGTGGATGTAGATTTTGTTTCATCAACACTTTTAGATAGTGATGTGCAGTGTATAGCATCATCATTTGAATGACTGGGTTCTGGTCTGGTGGCCTCTGAAGTGTCAGTTTCACTAGCTAGTCAAAATATATTTCTCTAGTCATGTGGTAGCACTGCGGGGGAGAGCCAGTTTTGTCTAGCAGTCGACATTATGTGTTTTTATGAAATACATCATCTGGGCGCTGAAAAATAGTGGGAAAAATTATAGTGGAGCTTGTTGCACTGAAATATCAGCAGTTGTCAGATATGAGAAGATTCCCTCTACACATGAGACTCCATTTAAATCTTTAATAGTTTCAGTTCAAAACAAGAATAAAAGAATGGGCTATTGATTAATGTAATTTGTTTTAAATGCTGATTTGCTAATTTGTTCTTGTAACTGATGGGTGATTGTTTTCTATCCAAGACCAACACAACAACTTGAACTCTTCAAGAAAGTTTTCCAAAGTCTTGAACTGCAGATAATTTTCATGAAAAATCCCATGAAATACATGTAGCAATCTATATTACTTAGAACTAAAAGACATCAAATAATCGCACATGTGCCATAAAAATGGCAGCCTCAGAATAGAATATTGACAAGTTGTTACATATTCAAAGTTTGGATATCCAGGCCTCAATATATTGGCCACATGTAAACACTACGCCTTTCTGTAGGCAGATACCTTTTCAAACTGGAAACTTTTTCTTGACTACTCCCAAGGGTGAGTGGTTTTGGATGCGAGGCAGGGTTAGCTGCATGTGTAGCTTAAATAGAGAAGGCTTCTGAGATGATGCTACTTGAATTTTTTTTCTTCCATGCAGTGGTACTAAAATAATCTGGGTTTTTTTTTCACAGATGTGTAGTGGTCTTGTTCAACCCCAGGAAAAACAAGCAAAGTTTTGTTCTCAATACATCCAAGTAAGAAACACTTATTAGCATCTACACTGTATTGTGAGTGTGATCAAAGTACAGTCATGTAATTTACTCTGCCCATGACACAATTCTGAGGATAATATCTGAGTGTATTTATACATGTATACATGTATGCTACACTGATTAAATAGCTTGAAATTATCTGATAGCATTTTGCTATTGAGCCCCCCAAGTCTATTTGAAACATAAAGCAAATTCAGTGACAACAAACTCAACGGACCGAGACTGAGTTTTTTTATGATAGATTACATTCATAGTTAGTTCATCATACTTGACACTGACATAATTTTTGAACTTAATTAGTACTGTCGCGAGGACGGAGAAATGTTGTTCGCTACTGATTTTGCAAGATCTTGTTTTAGAATATCTTATAATTATAGAACTTTATATATATGTTGTTGCTATAAAAGGTTTTTTCTCAATTTGATGTGCTGGGTAGTTGTTACAACAAAGAAATAGCCACTGACTAATCATTTGATTTTTACAGAAAAACGATCACTTCAGTAGCCTTTTCTGGTGATGGCAAATATTTGGCAACAGGCGAAGTAAGTTTTTGCAACTTAAATTATTTAATGCATATTAACCAACAGTCAATAATAATAATAGATTGTGTTTTAAATTAATCTAATTGTAATCACTTTTTCTCTTTGCCTCACAATGTATGGGTACATTGTACATTGTGAAATCGTTTTAAATGTGGATTTCATTAGTTGAGACATCACTCTTATCAGTTTAATAAGGAAAATTCAAGCTTCCGTATTTTTCTTCATCTTTTCAACAGAGTGGTCACATGCCATGTGTGCGAGTCTGGGATATGGAAGATCAGTCCCATCCACAGATATCAGAGATGGCAAAGGGACATAAATTTGGTATTGCATGCGTGGTATGTTACATGTTATGAGAAGTAATGGTACTGAATTATTAATTTGAAAAAGATTCCGCATTTTTTGTGGTTTGGGACATTCTGTTGTACATGTATTCTTGGGGAAGGAACTTTACACTTATAGTATGCCTCTCTCCACCCAAGAACTATTTATCAACTTGTACCAATTAATTCAATGTTGAAAAACCAACTGACAAAATGTGGGTAACCTGAGTTGGAGTATTTATACCATCCAGAGAGAATAGCACAGCTCTAGCAAAAATCCGCCAGCTGACAATGTTGCTGCATACAGTGAATTATTGGCTCCCAACTTCTTGCTGAAGTTCACTTATCCTGACAAATAACAAGTCCATCTCTGGTATTTAGGCCTTAAGGCGGGTGATTATCTCTGGTTTCCATAGCATGAAGCAACTCTAGAGTATTTTCTATTCCCCTCCTGGATGGGATACTTTCATTTATGCTATCCCATCGCAGGGTTACCCCCAGCATTATATTTGGGGGTACCCATTTATACACCAGGGTGGAGAGAGACAACACAATGTCCCCGGCCAGGGCTTGAACCTGAACTACTCGATCCTAGGCAAGTGCACTAACCGTGAGGCCACCGCACCTCCACATCTCTGGTCTTTACTGCCCATTATTGCTGTTACTTTCTCGTCTGCTATGAAGCATTTTTACAGGGCGGGTAGTAATACTCTTAATATACACTAAGGGCCAGGCTGCTGAACAATAATTAGGATGGGCTCCAGTGAACAAACTTTGCTTTGAGCCATCTTCTTGAGAGGTTTTATTTTATACACATGGAGTACGTTTTTGGGCTGTCCTCTTTATTTGATTTTGTGTGGTGTGATTTATGAGCTTTTTCTTTTCATTCCTTCTCCAAGGCATTTTCTCCTAATTTAAAATATGTGGCATCTGTTGGATTCCAGCATGATATGATTGTCAATATTTGGAACTGGAAGGTAACATGTATTTTAATCTTCTGGTAATAATTGTGTATACATGTACATTATACAGATTAGATGGTCAATCAAAATTTTATTTCATTTTCCAGGCTGAAGTTTAGTTTTAGTGCAGTGTAGCTTGTCAGGATTTTTCACTTTTCAATTTTTCCAATGCTGTTTCTACCGTTTTGCCATTACATTTAGTATTTATTTCAATGTTGTTGTAAATTTTTTACTTTTGTACAATGCTTTTAATTAATGCTTTTTTTTTAAATTTTGGAACGATGTACATGGCTAACATAGTCCATTTAGGCACCAGGATCACAAAGATTGTGGATGTGAAACTATCAAAGCTTAAATTTTTTTCCTTCTTTCTTTGCAGCTACAAAAACTTGCCATTTTACTGCAAAGATACATGTTTTTCATTAATATTTATTTCTTTGTTTTCATTGTAGACTGGTACAAAGGTTGCGAGCAATAAGGTTTCATCAAAGGTAGGTCAAAACTGATATTATTGTGCAAACGTTGTTATATGTTACTCACTGAAGTGAAAGAAGAAATGTTGCATCAACTGACACTCAATTAAGATTGGTAAGTTCACACTCTGTCTCATGACTGTCATGTGGCTGTTCTAAAACCCAATTATTAAACAAACCATTTCCAGGGTGCTTTTCTTGAGTACTAGTGGAAAACCTTTAATTTATATATTTGGTAGTCTGAGTTCTACTTGCATTTTCATTTTCATGCAAATCAAACATGTTTTCATATGAATGAAGGTGCAATCAGATTTTGTTTTCAGAAAGAGGGAAAGGGAAACAGGTAAGTGGTCTAATCAGTGCAAACTTTCCTCTTAATCAGTAGTTTACTCTTTCATTTTCAGGTGTCTGCACTATCATTTTCTGAAAATGGTAGCTTCTTTGTAACTGTTGGTGTCCGTCATGTCAAATTTTGGTATTTTGACACTGAGTCAAATAAATCAAAGGTGAGGAAAACATTTATCATTAAGAAAATGTATTTTTACATGTAAATCAAATAAATAACTGTTCAAAATTTTTATGACTGATTATTGTTAACAACATATATATGTTACGTATAAGCCCTATTTTCTTTGGGAGAAAGATGGCTCACAAGCTTCTACAAAAAGGTGTGATTACATTGTAATTAGCAAACACACGCCAAAGACCCAGCATTAGCTAATAATCAGATTCTATCAACTGTACTTAAGGATTTTTCAGAACGGCAAGGAACACATGTATCCAGTTCAAAATGTAGAAACTCACTCATAACAGTTTACTTTAGTTAGTTAATGCAGGGTTGTCAATAAGGTATGTAACCTGAACACCTGTTACGGCTGAGTGTGCTTGATGGTCCCTTGATGTTTCGGGTGAAGTTGCCTGTAGTTGATACAATTCACTCATAAAGTAACAAGTTTGTTACGGGTGTGAAGTTCAAGGCTGCAGTTGAATCAAAACTTAACAGTTCAGAAAAATGTCAGAGAGCCAAATGTTTTCATTTGATTCCTTTCTTCAGGTCTCCAAGACACTGGTCATCAATGGCCGAGCTGCACTTTTAGGAGAACAAAGAAACAATACTTTCTGTGATGTTGCTTGTGGCCGCGGAGTAAACTCTGATATAACTTACTGTGTAACCAATTCAGGGCTGTTGTGCTCTATTAACAGCAAGAGAGTACTTGACACCTGGGTCGAGCTCAAGGTATTGTACTTAAAAAAATTCAGTGACCATTCTGCTAAGATATTTCTAGCTGCATGTGTTCACTGTGTACTTCTAGCTTTATTTGGACATTCGTCTAATCAATAAACAGGTATCATCTGCGATCAACTGCATGTAGAATGGCAAGTGAGGTCTTACGTGCCACTTGATATGAAGTAGATAGGTGAAGTGAACAATTACAATGAAAATGCAAAATTTAGTTTTCAGTCTGAATCCTGTGTTTCTTTTCACAAGTTTTTCACCTGAATTTCTTTGAAAGAAAAAAGTCCCTGGAGATGGTCAAACCAGACAAGCAAAATCATTTTCATAACTGGTCAATTTGCCAGTTGCCTAGCCCTGCAGGTTTGAAACAAAATTTAAATGTAAGTTATACGTAAGGCTGTCATGTACTGTACATGTATGTAAGTTACAATGTGTACAATGTATGTCATGAGTCTGTCCCATTGTTTCCCTGTATCTGGCCCTTATTATTGTGTAGCCCCTTCTCTTAAGTCTTGTATCTCTCTTGGTTACAGTCATCTAAAGCACATGCCTTAGCTGTGAGTGAACATTATATCATATGTGGATGTGCAGATGGAATAATAAGGTAAAAACTGTTAGTACTCACTACTGTCACTGGCAAAATTAGCTCCAGTTCCTCTTATGTACTGGTAGACTTAATCTCTGGAAAATAATAAATTAAAGCAGCTTCATGTTGTGAAAAAATTATGGGATGTGAAAATGGAAGCTGACTTTTCAATGTAGTTACAAACGAATGGGAGCCAATTTATCGTAAGTTTATCTGCTGGATATCCATTGGGTGTCAAGAATATTTGACAGCGTATGAATTTATGTGCATTTGTTACGTATTATATTTGATTGACTTATTAAGAATGATTATGCTTTTCTTTCAGAGTATTTAATCCTTTGAAGTTACAGTTCATTGTAACTATTCCAAAACCTCATTTTCTGGGTGTTAATGTAGCTGAAGGCATTGACTCCAGGTAAAAATCACAAACTTAAGTAGTATTTTGTTATTTGTACTTGCTATCAGATTTTTGTGTTATCTTATTTAAAGCCCTTTAATGTTTGCTTTCAAGGTACATCTAAATTGGTATGAGTACAGTGACGAGGTTTGCTGACACTCCTTGAAAAGAGTCTTCAGTGAAAATTTCTTCCATTGGCAAGTTTATGAAATTGAATCACAGCAAATGCTGCTTGCTCATGAGGCAACCCGTGATAAAAAAGGAAACACTTGTCTGACAGATGCCTGCACTTGATAGCCCTTGGCTATTAGAAAAACAACTTTGTTACTCAGCGCAGTTTTTTTCTGAATGTCAGATGTGTCTCTTAGGGGATTAAGTGAGTGCGTGATGGGAGATATTTAATATTTAGGCTAGTCAAGTATGAAAGTACTTTCTTGTCCAAAGTGTCCTTGAAAAATAACTTACGTCCATTTTTGTTACCTTTTGCATTTAGTAATCCACTATCAAAGCCAGAGAAGGCAGTTTATCCAGATGCAATTGCTGTAGCCCTTGACACTGTTAACCATAGGGTGGGTCAATGCATGTATTGATTTTATATTTTATTTCTTAACTGTATTTATTATAGCTACTGTATTCTTAAACAAGCAGCCCTCTGTCCTTGCTGATTCTCTCTGGAAATTCCAATAGGTGCCTGCAAATCTCCAATTTTAGTTCTCAGTGTCCCAAGTTAAGTTTCATTTTGAGTTGAGCATGATGTGTTTTTATTGTCAGTTTCAAAGTTGAATCTTAGTTAATCCATTGGAAAACAGTTGCATGGCTGTTGTACAATGTAAATGAATTGAAATAAATTATACATGTTCAAGCCATTGTTTAAAATCAAATTTATTTTCAGTGGTGATTGATTATATGTTTTTAAGCTAAATTGAACAAGAATATTTTATTTATGTGAAGGATGCTCTAAGATGAGAGGTGACTGTTGTGTTAATTTGTTCTTGCAGTTGGCTTGTGTTTACAACGACCACAGCTTGTACACATGGGATGTGAAAGACATGAAAAAAATTGGAAAAACATGGTCTTCTCTTTATCATAGTACATGTGTGTGGGGAGTGGAGGTAAACACTGTATACACAATTATTAGTATTACTTATTACTTATTGCTTATATTAATTATTACACATTGATATTTATTATTTTTAAGTAATAGTCCAAGAAAATTAAGAATTAAGAGGAAGTCATCTCCCAGCCATAGAGTTTGACACAAATCTTCCATTTTGACTGTGAAGCTCTTCTCTCAGAGTCTACATTGTTTGTGATTGTTTCTTGCTTATGCGCGAACCTCTACATTAATAAAAGAAAAGATAAAAAGAGTACCAACTTTTTGAAATGCATTTTGTAAAAAACTACAGGTATTTTTTTCAATTAACTTTAAGCATTAGGGTTGGATGACACTTAGAAACGTTTTGTTTTAAACATTCTCCTTTGTACCAACAGATTTGTTGGTAATGCAGACCTGGGGAATTATTTCCTTCTTCAGATCAGGGGTTTTATTTTAATTAAGTATTTTAGTAATATCATGGTCAAGAATAAAGCACACACCATTTTTTTGTTGAAATCATCCCAACTCAAAAGAAACTTCAGTCTGTAAAAGTCACCTTCTTGCTTTTATCTTGTGCCACTGACAATGTTTGATTTGTTAAAATCTGACGTTTTGCTGTAGGTGTACCCTAATGTGTCAGATAATCGCCAGGCAGCCCTTCCTCCAGGCTCATTCTTAACTTGTTCAGCTGATGATACTGTTAGAGTGTGGAACATTGAAGAAGGTGAGAATTAGTACATTTAGCGGGATCAGTCTAAGGGACGTTTCCACAAATGTAAAGACATTAGATATCAGAAGTTTGGTGATTGTACCTTGAATCCCTGTCGGTTCAAATCCAAGTGTTTTCTTTTGCATTCTAATGTGTTGTGTCTTTTCCAGGAACAAGTATCTTATTTGAGAGGAATGTTTACAGCAAGGTAGGTTGAGTCAATGTACAACACCACCACTCAAAAAAGTCTTCACCTTTTTTTCTTGCTCCTTGTTTAATGACCAAGCGTTGTTTCTTTCACTACACGCTTTGCTTCTGGTGAAAATCATAGAACTGGTATTAATAGAACGTTCTTCTCGCAAGACGCCAGTGTTGGTGTATTTCTTTCAAAAAACTACTCACTTAGGCCTCGCTGTGCAATGTTTTCATGAAGTTGCTGAGTTAACACGTAGTTTACCTGTTATCAGTCATTATGATCAGGCAGATCTCAAGAAATTGTTCTTGCTTGTGATAAACTTACAGGAGATGATGAGAGTATTGTATATGGAAGATGCAGTAGCCAACTTGAAAGATACTGACATCAGTCCAGGTAAGTTGATAACTCTTTTTCAAACAACAAACTTCCAAGTAAACTCCTTTAAACCGTTACCTTCCTGTTCAGTTCCATAACAATTATTTCCTTTTAGAGAGCATGAGGGTGAAACGTGGGGCCTAAGACAGAGCAAAAGAAAAAAAAAATGCAAGACAAAAAATGTAATTTGTCCCAAGCTTTCACATGCCTCATTGCACACTCGAAAGGGAAGAGTTTGCAATGCATGTTTCTAAAAAGATGTTGATGCCCTTTCTCTTCGCTGCCTCCTCCCTCTTGGAAATCTTCTCTTAGTGATTTGTATTTTTTTCCTCACAAGCCATAAAGAACATGCGTGATTCCACCGGTGACACACGGAATGCTGGGGTGAGATGTCTTCGTATTAGTCCGGATGGACAGGCACTTGCTACTGGAGACAGATCAGGGAATGTCAGGTTTGTATTTCAAAAGAAAACACAGTTCACAATTTGTTTTACGCTGGGTGGACAGACTTAACATAGACTGCTACTCACCGACCTGCCTCTTACAGTGTAATCATCCGAACCCCGGGTCCGAACCAGCAGATATTTGTTTTCATCCCCCATGGTTACGCATTCTTGCCCTGCCGCGAAATTCTATGCTAATTTCTTCGCCGTACAGAGATCCGTATAGTCTCTAATTGGTTGTTAATTGCGCGCGAAAATTCAAAACCTGGAAACTACTAATCAGAAGCATGGCACGGATCTCTATAAATCTACGTCATCGGAATGAAATTTGTCGGGTCCAGTCCCAGACGTCTATTTTACCGAGGACAAATTTCAAGATATACCTACACACCTGGGAGGCTTTCTTTTACCACAAAGTCAGTTTCTCAGTATTGCTTATAAATGTTCTTTTCAGGGTGTATGACTTGATGTTCTTTGATGAGACTGCAAAAATTGAAGCGCACGAGTCAGAGGTTTTATGTGTAGAGTTTTCACCCACAGACTCGGGTATGGAATGGAAGTTTGTAAATGTTTACCAGTGTTACAGTAACTCAAGGTTTGATTATTTGTCAGATTCTGTTTTGAGCAATTTTCAATCGAGTGACGTGACATTTGTCACTCCGGCCAATCACAAAGGATACTGGTAATCTAATGAACCAATCAAGACTCAAAGCAAATACGTGTAGCTGGCGTGAAGCGCGGGAAAACATGTGCGAGCGAGTCATTATTGGTTTTGGTTTTTGCTTGTGATTGGTTGAGAAAATTGTGCGAGATTTTTACAACAAATCTCTAGGCGTAGTAAACAAAACCAAAGCAAATAAATAGTGCTTTTGATACTCATATGAAAACCGCTCTATGTTTACATTTTGTTAATCCTTTCTCCTTGTAGGTCATAAATTACTTGCATCAGCCGGGCGAGATCGACTTATTCACGTCTTTGATATGATGAATAACTTCGTTCTTGTTCAGACATTGGATGATCATTCAGCGTCAATAACCTCCATCAGGTTCAACAGTAAGTAAATCTATGTTTTGTAACGTTTTGCTAACCACACTGGAGTACAGTGTATGTTCATTATGTATGTTTCGTGTTAACGTTAGAAGTATTTTAGGCGTGCTTGCAGGTATGATGAATCCGTAGGGGCTAATAGGCCATTTAAGATTTTGTAAGTTATAAAAGAGCCACTCGAAGGCATCTCTTTCAACTTTACTTTTTATTTTTTCTGTTTATTCACTGCTGTATTTTCTTTATGATAATGTAACGCTCGCTGTAATCTGCCTCAATAAACCAGATGCCCGCTCCTGATGCTGTGTTTATTAATTAAGATTAGTTACAAAATAATTTATTATCGTTTCAGGGTGATTAGAGTATAACATTCACTTTACACAAAGAAAAGCCTTGTTTAGCTTTAGAACCCTCGTGCTGAAATCTTGGCATTTTTGTTTTCAGTGTCTGAATCTGATGAATTACAGCTTTTGAGTTGTGGAGCGGACAAGTCTATTATATTCAGAACAGCTCAACAGGTATGAGGGCAATTTTAATTATAGAGGGAAACAAGGGGGTCAGAAGTTCTCGCTACCTGAAGTTCTTCATTCTTTCTGAGATCACTTGATGAAACAACTTCGTACATGTAGCTGTAAGAATCAAAGAAACTGTTGGTAAAAGAATATAAAATACGTTAAAGATATGAGAACGGCTCGTAACGAATAACGATTTTCATTCCATTTAGACCCCGTCCACCTTAGCACCCTAGATCGGAGGAATTTGAAAACGGAGGCTGGGGCAAACGTCCACACTAATCCGTCACGAAAACGGAGCTTTTCTAAGACGCTCTTCAAACCGGAGGAATTTGAAAACACCGGCTTTGCGTTTTCGTGTGGATGGAAAACATTTTGAAAATGAAGCTTTTCGAAAATGGTGACATCACGATAATCACGTGACTCCCCGGCAGGAATTTTCCTCAAACACAAATGCAAAATGACCGGTGATTGTTGCGTTTTCAAATTCCTCCTATGATACAGACTAGAAAGCACCGTTAATTAATTAATTGGAATTTTACTTCTTTCTTTTGCTTCCCGCCCTTTTGTGTCTGGAACCCTCCTTGCCTTCTTTTTTCCAAGTAAACCTTATGGTAATTTTCTTTAACGCAATTTCTTTTAGATTCCATATCTAATCTTGATGTCGTTTTTAAATTCTTGGATTTTGCAGAACCCAGAATTTCAGTTTGTTAGGACCACAAATTACGTCGGGAAAACAACACTGTATGACATGGATATTGATCCGTCGGGGTAAGTATTTTCTAATTGCATTTTCTTGCAATGATCTTACTGCAGCCAGCTATGATTCACTTCTTTTTACGTGACGCAAGATTGGTGATTCTCCGTGATGCGTGTTTGGTACCCCCCACTCCCTAAGCCACCCTCTGCTATGGGTGGAGTTTTTGCATGTAATTAAATGAAACACGAACAGCTTAACGTCTATAACCGTTTTTTTGCTTTATTTTTTTTTCGTTAGAAAACTTGCGGCGACTGCTTGTCAGGACAGAAATGTCAGGTATCCAGGAGCTGAGCTTAACAGTTGTTTTCCACTCATATGACAGTAATTGTATCTGCAATTTGACAAAGTAGATCAATGAAACTAACGCAAAATCTATGAAAGAACAAAGAAGAGAAGTGAGTAAAGTGTTTTCCACTTACAAGTGATCATGTTATCATTTTGGATTTGTTTTGCTTCAAGGGTTTATGATGTAAACAGCGGAAAGCAAACAAGAAACTACAAAGGCACACCGGGAGATGACGGAACATTAGTAAGGGTATGTAACTCGGCTGAATTTCATCAAAGGGCGATGTGATGTAACAAGTCATGTTTTAAGGGTACAATATTACCTTCCAAGAGAAACACACTTGATAATGTGAGAACACCAAGGAAGTCAAGACTGGGGAGGATTGAGACGGTCTACGACTAAACAAAAGCTTGAAAAATGTCGGGAAAGTTGTTAAAGATGTCATCTGTGAAGACTTAGTCTCTGTTCATCTGTGAACATAGGGTGTAAAAAGTTATGTTCACGTTGTCGTGGAATTATCAGCTTTGCTCCAAGAGTCGTTGTACATGCTTACTCTCACTATGTACAGCAGAAACAAGCACTTCTAAATCAAATTAAATTATATCTAGGATGCATAAGATTAATATTCACGTTATGATAAGATTTGTCGACCCATATTAACCCAAAACTTGAGGATAACAAAATGTTTGCACGAAACCAATTCGTCCCGATATTTGAAAATCTGTTGAGCTTCTTTGAGCTTCTAGCCCAAAGATAAGGAAATCTTTGGGCTAACAGATCGTAGCGTGTAGTAACTCGGTTTGTGCTGATGTGCTGTTAAATTTTGTTGACACGAAGCATGCTAACTGGTTTGTTTGTCCTGCTAGATAACTCTGGACTCGTCAGGAACATACGCAGCCACAAGCTGTTCAGATAAGAGTGTGTGTCTGACAGAGTTTGACTCTGGTGAATGTGTCGCCAGCATGTCCGGTCATTCTGGTAAGTGTAAAGTAGAAGATTTAAGCCAAACAATGCAAGCATTCACAGCTACTTTTTACAGCGACGAAAAGTTCAATAAACCAATCAAATCTGACGCGAAGCCATTTCAAGCGCGGGAAATCGTTCTTGAAATCGGTGTTGAACGCGCGAAAACGTGCAACCGTCAACCGGTGATAACCAGAGGAAGACGTGACTGAAACCGGTTTAACGCGGAATAACGTGTCACCCGATGGAAGCGCGAAAAAAGCGCGGGAAAATGGGCGAACATTGAAACGCGCGTGTCAGCCAAATCGCGTTTACACGTCACTGTTTTTTTAACCCGCGGCAATCGCTTAACATTTAGTAGACACGAAGCTCATTAGTGTTTTTGTTAAGGCTTATGGTTATTCGCCCGTCACTATTCATTGAAAAGGAATTTTGTTTACAGAGGTGGTGACTGGCTTGAAGTTTTCTGTTGATTGCAAGAATCTTATTTCTGTTGGAGGGGATGGGTGAGTGATGATACAGAGTACTGAATAAACACACGTTTAGCAATAGTACGTGTAGATGGAGAGAAGAACAATTTAAGTGTTTTCTTAGTTCTTTTCATGTCTTTTTGTCTGCTAATTTTATTAATTTTAAAATTAATTAATTTTATTAAGAAAATGTATGGCATTCATGTTTTTTCTTTGTTTGCAGATGCATCTTTTTGTGGAAAATACCTACAACATATATGCAGGTAACAGGTTTATTGACTTACTACGACTTTGTTTAATATTGTTTTTAGCCAAACTCCCTGAGCTGTTTTATAGGAATCGAAAACTCTTCATCATATCCTATCCAATGTGGTTATGATGTTAGCAAATTTCGTTGCTATCTAATTTTGCACTTACAATGCAAAGCTTTTATTGGTTGCATGATAGAGTTGAGGCATTGGTCCATTGCTGATCATATACTTCTGCTTTTTTGTCAGAATATGGTGGAGAAACTTCAGGGACTTGGACAAGAACCAGACAACAAAATCCAGTTTGGAACTCCTATCAGGTATTATTTTTAGTTGGCCTGACCAGTTTCTCAAACCTCCAGAGATAAGTCAAAAAAGACAAAGTAATTCCACAGTGATGAATTACTGTAATTCTGCAAACATCCGTGTGTTGGACACCATTACGAGATTCCTTGCGTCGAAATAACACTTGATGTTCTTAGTCTATTCATTATAGCTTCCTTGCGGTGATACATATTTTATTGTAGCGTTCAAGTCTTGTCCAGAGGATCAGTCTCCTGCTGTTGCCTGGCTTGTCGATCTCCTGAGAGGAGCTATTACTAACAGCTTTTTTTTTCTCATATTGTAACGATTGTTTTTATTTGTTTAACATCAGGCGCGAGACATACCAAATGACTCATCCATCCATAATTGAATCACCAGAGGAGAACGACTTTGTCCCTGCAGAACCTTCGGCATTTACCAGGCCAACTAGAGGTATATATAGCTCGTATCTAGCTCAGTCGTGAGTTACAGTAACCGAGGTCAAAAGAATATTGCGTGCGGTCCCTCATTTCATTGTTGTCTTACTTTGCACTTTTCTTATTTTTCTCTGATATCCTAGAGCCCAGTCCCCCAGTCAAAGATTACCGGTTTAGCGTGGGTCAGTTGCCTGCCTGGGCGAAAAAGCAGGTGGGTTATTTTAATAAATACAAAATGTCTTTACACTTCTCCATACTTTTCTTACAGAATTATTTGGAAAAATATAACTTGTTGATTGTGCTTGAATTTCAAAGGTAATCACACACCTTTTGTAAACAAGATTGTAACATTTTGGTAAAAGCTTCGTTTGTTTCGTTTTAGCTGGTCGCCGAAGGAAATGAAAAAACTAGTTTATCGCCAGAGCAGGATAACACTGGTCCAATAAGTCAACCTGGAGGGCGCTGGGCACAGGTGAGCTACTTACCCACCCCTCCCTAGTGCTGGTTCTTAGTTCTTCAGATGTGGAGTTGTCTTAGATAGGGGTTCAAGTTTTATAATATACGCGGCTTCCCACATATACATATGTGCACTGTTTGCTCGAAGGTGATTGAAGTTTGCGTCTTTTAACTGTTTTCGGTTGAAGTTGCCATTAGAACAAAAGTAATTGCAACTTGGCGTACTCGCGTTTGTCCTCCCTTGGCGCACGTGGAATTTATTTATCTTGAGTTCTGACTTGTTGCTTTTTCAGTAGCTACTACAACACCGCTGTGATAAATTATTCTAATGCACCTTTTTGACGACATCATGCAGTTACAACATTGTTTCGTTTTTGTTTTTTTTTATAAGAAACCACTTCCATAGATCAATTTACCATGCCGAATTTAGAAAATATGCGAAGCGTCATACGAATCCCTTGCAAACTCATAAAAACATGGGCCCCCGAACTTGCCAATTTTTTTTTTTTTTACCAACAAATGTATTCCGAAATTTCGGAACAAAAACAGATTGCAAACTCATTACCAAGTGCTCCCAACCGTAAAAAAACCCCTCCATTTTTTCCCAGAGAGTGTTTGTTTCTATTGAAACCTTTTTTTCCTTTTTTGCAGCGAGTCCAAAATGGCGGTATTCATGTGGCTGGTGATAATGGCACGATACAACCAATTCCATTCTCATTTGAACCAGCAGGTAAAAACAAAATGCAACAATCAAATTATTGTTGACTTAATAAGGAACAGAGCCATCTCCAAGTAGTGATTAAACACGCCTTTTCATAACTGTTGCTTAGCAATGCAGAAAATATCAGATGAAGAGGAAAGGTCAGTTCATAAAAATAATCAGAACTGAACTTCTACTTTTTACACAAATCAACCGAAAAACTGTAGTTTGCTTTGCAGCTTTTGGTCCCAACTGGCGACAGATAGAACTGTTGTGTGAAGAAAACATGTTCTCTTGTTTTTGAATCGTGTACTCTTTTTGCAGATCGGAAGCGCTATACAATAGAACCCATCTCACTGCAGGAACAAGTCAGAGCTCTGGCAAACAGCGTATGTAATTGATTCGTTTTAATTTAATGTTAAGTCTTTCTCATGCGACCGTTAGCTGCTTTCATCACATGTTTGGATTCAAAACCTTTTGCAGTTTGTCCAACTGGTTTCTTACTGATATTTTTTGTTTGTTCTTTGTTATTTTGCAGCCTCTCGAGAGACGTTGCTCACTTACACGAGGGGTAAGAAAGAGATAGTGATCTACTTGGCTTGAATTTCTTTTGTCCAGTAAACTCTAGAACCTTGTGAAAACACCTTGTGGAGACGCGACTGAATTTTGAGTCCCGCGCTTTAAACGAACGTTATTCTTGATCCCAGCGAACAAATTTTCTCGGAAAGAAATAGGCTTGAAATAAAACTGCCATTTGGTAAAGCGCATTCGCGTGAAACTCTAGCTATTGAACAGCTACAGTCTGCCGATTGAGGCAGTTTTTCAGATTACAGGAATGAAGCAATGTTGTTATCGGGGAGCAGGGATGAGGCAGTATTGAGAGCGCTCGCCTCCCAGCAATGTGGCCCGGGTTGGATTCCGGCCCGGTGTCATATGTGGGTTGAGTTTTTTGTTTGTTCACGCCTCGCTCCGAAGGTTTTTCTCCGGTTTTCCTCCATCCACAAAAACCAACATCTCTAAATTCCAAATGAACCACGGCAGAGGACCTGCATTAAAACCAGCTAAGGCTGCTGTGACTTCCTCTCTAAATGTTGTAATTTATTTATGTATATGTGGATTGAGCTCTCATTAATTTCGCAGGAAGATGATGATCTGTTTCCCGCGGATGGTCGAGCAGCTTTGGATAAACTGAGCGAGGAGGAAGATTATAATGAGGTTAGTATCTTTACAGTTAAAAAAAAACCGTGGTNTTGAATTTCTTTTGTCCAGTAAACTCTAGAACCTTGTGAAAACACCTTGTGGAGACGCGACTGAATTTTGAGTCCCGCGCTTTAAACGAACGTTATTCTCGATCCCAGCGAACAAATTTTCTTGGAAAGAAATAGGCTTGAAATAAAACTTCTGTTTGGTAAAGCGCATTGGCGTGAAACTCTAGCCATTGAACAGCTAGCCATTGAACAGCTACGGTCTGCCGTTTGAGGCAGTTTTTCAGATTACAGGAATGAAGCAATGTTGTTATCAGGGAGCACGGATGAGGTAGTATTGAGAGCGCTCGCCTCCCAGCAATGTGGCCCGGGTTGGATTCCGGCCCGGTGTCATATGTGGGTTGAGTTTGTTGTTTGTTCACGCCTCGCTCCGAGGGTTTTTCTCCGTGTTCTCCGGTTTTCCTCCATCCACAAAAACCAACATCTCTAAATTCCAAATCAACCACGGCAGAGGGCCTGCATAAAAACCAGCTAAGGCTGCTGTGGCTTCCTCTCTAAATATTGTAATTTATTTATGTATATGTGGATTGAGCTCTCTTTAATTTCGCAGGAAGATGATGATCTGTTTCCCGCGGATGGTCGAGCAGCGTTGGATAAACTGAGCGAGGAGGAAGATTATAATGAGGTTAGTATCTTTACAGTTTAAAAAAAAAAAAAACTTGGTAGCCGTAGAAAGCTCAAGTTACATGACCAAACAATTAACACACCAAAAAGTTACCTGACCAATTTCAGGAGGAGTAAGAAAGTTTGATTGCTTTTGCTTGTAAGGAAAATTTGAAATCTGCCCGGACACTTTGTGTCAACTCTAGGCTAAGTAAGGTTAACATCGTGTTGAGGGCGTACTTTTCCCACCATACAGGGAANTCTAGGCTAAGTAAGGTTAACATCGTGTTGAGGGCGTACTTTTCCTGCCTTACAGGGAACCGCTCCACCTGGTGTCACCGTGTCACGTGGCAGTGACGTCATGGCGCAGGTCTCACGGAAAAGTAGTGTTGTGATGTCAGAAGCTGGAGAGCTCAAATTCGAGGAAGCTGAGGAGCTGGACGAGGGAGAAATGAAAGAAGTGATCATCTACCTTCCTCCAAGCCAGGATGACTTCGACAGTGAAGTTGCCAGGTCAGAAAAATATCCTTTTTATGTCCCTAATGAGGTCCTTCATCCATGTGGTGCTGGGGCAAGTTGCGTCCTTAAGGACCTACCCCAAGACGTAGGAGTGGAAATGAGGCCGGCCCGTTACGACTCCAAGAGCCCTTTGTATGCCTATTCGATGCGAGAGTTAGGTTGCAAGGTCGAAAAACGGTCCTTGTTAAATGAGATCTTACTCAGAGCTCTTCGGGAAATGGAGCCAAGTGTAGGGTCCTTTTCAGACGGCCATGTTATTAAAAGTTTTTATCCAAGGAAAGGAAAGGTTCCCTCGACTAAGCTTTTCAGCGTTTTAGCGCCTTCTGGACAAGACAAAAAGTTAAATTCCAAACAATTTAATGAAAGTTTTTGTGCAAAGTCATGCTTTATTGAAGTGACTAACTCTAACTTAAACCCAACCGTTAATAAAACATGCTTTAAATTGAATTCTTCTACTGTTGATAATATAAAGTTTGAACGCTGTAAAGTCGAGATAAAAAACCTATCGGAAAACAAGAATGGTCCTGGCAACAGAAATTCTAACGTCTCCAAACATTCAGAGAGAAGTCTTTGGTTTAATGGCTTATTTAACAAGAAGGTGACTTTTGGTGGTCTTGTCTTTATTAGTCTCAGTTTACTTGGGTATTACAACATTGCGGGGATACAGTAATTAAATGAAGATGATAAATTAGCCCTCGCTTTAAACATAAGATTAAATGTTAAAAGGTTATAGTCATTACACTGCTGTCAACTACAAAAACATTTTTTTTAACTTTCCAGTGGCTTATAAAATTCCCAGCCAATCAAAATTCCAGCAGCCGCACACGCAATTTCTCAGCACGTGAGTTGCACGTGAGTACTTTGTCTCCACCTCCCCTCCCCTCCCCCTTCCTCCTCCCCTCGCGACATTAAAGTTGGATATTGATTGGCTGGGCAATTAGGAAACCAACAAAAAAAAAAATGTGGAAAAGTTGAAAAAAACCCAACCAACTCTGCAACGAACGGTTTGGATATTTAAACAACTTCTTAAAATATTAATTAAGCTCTGTAAAAGAAACTTGAATCGGGTCTACTTAAACTGAGATAATTAGTGTTTATTATTGGTCTGTTCTCAGAGGCATGAGTCTTACTTTAAATTCTGCGGATGAAACCCTGTTTGTGTGGTCATTACTTTCATGTTATGTGGTTTGTCTGTCTAAATTTTGCAAGATGAAATTATGGTTTTTTTCAATTTTAAACTTTTTCACTCTTGAAAATGAAAGTGAGATTTTACTTTGCATGATTATTGTTTTGCCGACATGTTAATTTCAACTTAACTAGAAATAAACACATAAATAAAAAGCTATTTTCGAACTTGTTATGAATAAGGTTTAAAGTTAGTTCTATTTTAAAATATAAAAAAAGTATTTTTACATAAAAAAAAATTTGTTGTTATCTCGAGAGCTAGTCAAAGTTTTTTGAGAACTTAAACCAGTATATTTTAAATTTGAAAGTGTAGCAATTCTATTATTTTATGAAGAAATAAATTTTTAAACATGTACTCGGTGTGGCTTTTGTTTTTAACTTTCAGCTCTTCTTAACTGAATCGATTGTTTGGTAACAAATAATGTAAGAATGTAAATATTTCGTTTTTGCCTTATGATGTAAAATTATATGCAAGGGTAAAAAGTACCAAAAATTAAATCTAAACTTTATTTAACTCTTAAAACCTTAAAAAAAAAAGTGTTGGATCTGGAGTAAAATGACTAGATGAACAGTAATTTTTTTAAAAAATGTTTTAATCATGAACACTGACCGCCCATACAGTAATTATTAAACTCTTACTTGATTGAATTTTAACAAAGTACTTGTACTTAGAGCGTTTTTCTGGTGACATTCATAAAATTAATCCCGAAGTAATCACAGAATGAACATTACGGCGGGAAATTTCAATAATCCATATAACACGTGACTGGCTGCTAACGCGAGTGGCGGCAAGCGCGGGAAAGTTAACGGGTGCAAAGCGCGGGAAACGTAGTGGAAGCTATTATTGATTTAATGGTATTCTTTTTTGGCTGAAAAGGCCATGAAAGGCAGAACCTTTGCTGTTCTAGGCTCGAGTACAGTGCGCGACTTTCGTAACTTCAATTCGAATTCACTTGAAAACGCTCTAAACTATGTTTATCTTAAACGTGTGCAACACTTTAAACTTCGTTGCAGTCCCTATAACTAAAAAGTTCTTAATATGACATAAAGTCGCATGATAAATGAGATTAAAATTAATCTAGAATTAATATCGTAATATGAATTGTTTCATTACACAGTTCTAACAACAGACCTTCCAGAGGCCATTTCAAGTATAAGGCAATTTTCAAGAAGTCTCAAAAAGCTAAGTAAGTTCTAACAAAAACAAAAAAAATGCGCCATCGTTCATCATGGCCGCCGCAAAATCATCTTCATAACATTCCATATCTTTTTACCAATAATTTTCTAACATTTCCGAGTAACAAGCCCTAACCTTTGGTCTTTGCTTTATTACAACACTCCACCCACTCTCCCCTCCCATTTTATTGCATTTAACAATTAATGTAACTAACACCGACTGTCTTCCTTTTGCACACTCGCTCGACCCAGTGCTCCGCGGGTCCAAGAGATTGTGCACCATTACGAGGCTCTGCAGGTAACTCATCACCAGTCTTGCCCCAATATCGCTCAGCAAGTCGACAAGAGCCTGCAAGACGATTTGGATGAACAGGATGAACCTGTTAAGCTGGATAATCCGGTTAAACCGGCTCCGCTTAACAGGTCTCCGTCGTTAGATTATCTGCCTTCACGGCTACAAATGTTTCTCAGGTAACCAAATAAACTCTTAAATTATTTGCGTGTTACTGAAAGTAACTTGACAGTAAAACTTTATAAAATGTTACAAAAGATATAGACAGACAAGTACTTTTGAGTGTCTGTGCACTTTGAAGACTGTTGACTGTGAAATGTTTAAAATAAAATTTTAGTCACGGATAAACAATTTAAGAAAGTCAAAGAGTCTCTGTAAACTTTCATTCTAAAAGAAACTCGGTCAGTTTTTTTAACTGTCAACTTTTTCTTTCGTTTGTTTCAGAAGGTCCACTTCCAGATAAATTCCAATAAAATGTGCATTCATTTGACTTAAATAACAAATTTAAATGTTGGTAATGGAATTTTTCTAAGGAATAAATGACGTTAAGAAATTTATCGTTAATGTAGCCTCTGTTTAACTAAATTTGTCATATATACTTGTAAATTTTTGTCTTGTGGATTTGTTTGTTGCCACTTAAAACAGATTTGTCTGTTACCACGTTATGAAAATCAAAACTTGCAATCGTTACACGCTTGATAAGTAGAGCTACTTTTTTTAAAAATCGTGGACGTAAAGAATGATTGAGACTAAAGCAATTGACAATCTTTTCATTGCTCGCACCGTGATCATTAATTCACTCTAGAACAAACTAAAAACATGCGTCCAGCTTTCATTGTTTTGCCAGCCAAAAAAAAAAAA